CTCCAACGGTTTAAATTAGGAACCAGACACTACCTCAGTATCCATCATTAAGGAAATGATTAAATGGATTAGGACAAATCCTTCAATACTGAGTAACCTTCACTTAGAAGTGTATTTTTACTTAAACTATTTAAAACATACAAGAAATTGTAATAGCAACACATATCATCACCATAGTCTAATGATGCTAATATTTCCATTTTTTAGGGTTTTTCATGTATTTGCATATATGATTATATATGTCCATAAAATTTTTCCTCAGATAAACACTGTATGTTTATCAAAACTTGGGATAACCATTTTCACTCTCCATCTTCTCCCTTCTTTTGAAAAGGTAATTTCTAAAAATAGATTTTGGTTTATGTGGGTCTACCTTGGTAATAAAATGGCTTTAAAAAACATTACTTTCTTTAAAAAAAAATTACTTCTTTGTTCATCAATTTGTTTTGTTTTGTCATATTTGCTTTACTTTCCATATGAAGGTGTTGAAAGATGAATACACATACGTCTAGTTTTACAGATACTAGTTTTGCACAAATACAGTTGTGAGGTGGACATCCTTCTGGTATCTGGGTGTGTTACAAGCAAGAGTTCTCTAGGTGTTCATACTGAAGCACAAGTGCCAGAATATTCCAGCACCAAGATTTACAGCCAAATTACACTCAGCACAAGTAATTTTTCCTAATATGAGCGGTATCTTCATTAACCACTTACATAATTAAAACTCACATGCATATATACAGGTATTTGTGGCACAAATCTACCCAAAAAATGATATATTTGACAGTGTGATACCATGCCAGTTTGATTTTTAGATTGTTCCCCCAGATGACTCTCATGCAACCAGAGCTGAGAGCTCCTAGTATCTTTCCTGTACTTCAACCATATGTAGACAGTTCTTCAACTTATGAGAACAAGTCTGATGACTTCAGAAGGGAAAACTCTACATTTTTATCTATAATCCTCTTCATTTATATGCACGTCTGTATCTTCATGTTTATATGCATTGCTCTATGTAAATATACATGTTTATTGTTCACCTACACAGCCTCTAGAGCTCCCCTCTATACTCTTCTCTATTCATATCTCTGTATCTACACATCTATCTATAGCCTCTGGAAGGACACAGGATGACTTTCTCTAGAGAGGGAAGAAAGTAAATTTTCACCTCTGAAGCAATCAGTGAGGTTAAGTCTCTAGAGAAAAATGCAGGGAACAGTGTCTGACCAAGGGAGTCAGGTTGACCAGTTCAGAATCTCGAGTCTGATGTGCTTTTCATGAACTGGGTGACCAGATATCCTATTTGATTGAGGTGATCCATGGGTGTGGATGGGGCTCAACCAGTGGAGGGCTTAAAAGTTGTCATGGTCGAGGCCGCCACAGCCTGAAAACAAGGTTGAGAACATGGAGGCTGCAGGGTTTTGGACCTTGCAGGTGGCAAGTCCAGTGGACCTTGCTTGGTGCCCAGGACTAGAGCATCGGATTGCCCCATCCCAGCAGTGCCTCCAATAAAAGGCGTCTGCCCTCCTCCTAGAGGTCCCTGGGGTCCCAAGGAGCTGGGCCCTTAGTTCTCAGACCCCTCTAGGCTGAAAACCTTTGGACTGAGGGGCTTCTGAGAAAGGCTGCCCCCAATAAGAGAGAACCTTAGGGGGAACCCTCCCTCTTCGGCTGTTGGCAGCTGCAGCAGCCACCTTTCTGCCACAAGGGGAGTGACTGACAGGACAAGCTAAGGATGGCAGGGCAGAAAACTAGAACCTTAAAGCCCCCTAACTCAAGACTTGTTACATATACAAAATATAAATTCTCTTACTTGTTGAAGTTCTTTAGGGTTAGGTTTTCTGTTACATGTAATAAACACCTGGCTTTTGCTAAGCCAGATGGGGTTATGATTCAGCAAAGAGCATTAGTCCAAAAGTAAGAGAGGATGAGAACAATGCAAACAGCAGCATAAACTTTCAAAGCTGCAACCACTTAATTGGAATAGCGAACAGACAAAAACAATACCAGGAATGTTCACTGCTGCAGAGAAAGAGAAGACAGAATGTTTCTGCCACTAAGGAAGTTGTGGAGGTTATTTAAGGCTGGAATAAGTAATCTCAAAAGCTGGAATAAGAGAAAGCCAGGGGGGAATAATGAGAAAGGCCCAGAACTCAAGAACTTAAAGGATTTAAGAAATAATGTCTCCCAGAACACAAGCAGAAAGCAAAGTCAAACTCATGAAGTCGAGGAAAGAAAATGCAAAGAACAAGATTATTTAGAAGCTTAAGGCAGAAGTTATCTCAGTATTAAGACTTAAACAGTTGGTCTTTGGAACACATTCAGCTATAGTTCAATGCCATTAACTATTAAAATCCAACTCATTTTCCTTGCTTAGTTTTGTGCTCCCAAAAATACTTCTGATAATGTTTCCCCACATATATACCAGCCCAAGAGATGAAATGATCTGAGAAATTACAAAACCAGATATTTGAAAATTACTGGTTTATAAGGAACACTAGAAGTTGGCACATGTTTTGGTTTAAACATGTCTTCTGGTAGTATGGGTATAATAAATCAGACCCTTTTGCACATGATGGACAAAACTAGAATCTCTAGCTCTGTAAAGCCAATAGGCTGTGGTAACTTTACTGAGGTACAGACATGGTAGATGACATGTCCATTTCACATATAAAGCAATGATTTTCAACCACCCTAGTGTCACATCACAGTAGAAAAACACATTTTAAACAAATATCCACCACCAACCCCTCCTAAGCCCCATTTAAGAATCACTACCGTAGAGTCTTCCTGGCGATCCAATGGTTAAGACCCCATGTTTCCACTGTAGGGGGCTCGGGCTTGATCCCTAGTAGGGAAACTAAGACTAAGATCCTGCATGCCACAAAATGTGGCCAAAAAAAAAATCACTGAGCAAAAAAATAGTGAGCAAATGAGTGGGTTTTTTTTTAACATTTAACATTTTTTTTTAACTTATTTGGGCTTCCCTTGTGGCTCAGCTGGTAAAGAATCCGCCTACAATGCAAGCAACCTGGGTTCAATCCCTGGGTTGGGAAGATCCCCTGGAGAAAGAAGAGCTACCCACTCCAGTATTCTGGCCGAAGAATTCCATGGATAGTCCGTGGGGTCACAAAGAATCGGACACAACTGAGCAACTTCCACTTCACACACACTTATTTGGCCATACCCACGTCTCAGTTGCAGCAGGTGGAATCTTTGATCTTTGTTGTAATGTGAAACCTTTTAACTTTTTCGGGGGTTTTGTCAATTAGATCTTTTAGCTATGGCATGCACACTCTTAGTTGCAGCATGCATTGACAGTGCAAAGCCCTAGCCACTGGACCACCAGGGAAATCCCTGCACTTATGTTGTACCATTCCAACAAGCTGAGGAGGAGGAAAAGGTTACATGCTTTGATTTAGGCTGGGTTCTCCCAGAAGCAGACTCTTTTTCCAGAAGAAAAGAGTGTGAGTGCAACTGAGGATTCCGGATGCACTAGTAGACAAATGGGGATGTAAAGTGAGAGCAGAAGGCCTATGAAGGTGCAGTCATCCCACTGTAAGCAACTATGCTTTCTTCTACTTGCCGCCTCCAAAAGATGGCATGGAAACCATCATCCCATTCAAGGAGTAACTCAAATATTCAGTTGTCATCTCTCTGGTCAGCAAGGAAGCTGAGTATGCATTCTCTGATTCCCATTAACCACTGGGCGAAAGCTGCTCTCAGGGGCATTAACTCCATTGCACGTCAAGCAAAGAGGGCCTCCGACAGGTGTGGCAGTTAGACTCCTGCTGTTGGCATGTGCTGGACTGGTGAGTGCTCAGGCATCTGGACAGGTTCTGACATCTTCTGTTATACACTGGATAGTTGCTTATTGACGTCGCTGCCCTTTGGCTCTCTGCAGTTCACCTGGTTATGCCATCTTTCACAGTCCTTGACACAGATCTTCTCTTTGCTCCATTCAGAAGAAACAGCATCTTTCTAACGGCCTATCAGTTCTAAATGGAACCTCTTATTGGTTTTAACTACTAAGAGCAAAAAATGTTAGTTCCTTTATAGCTTTTATACCTAAAAGGTTTTATGAATACAACCAAAGAAAACACTTTGTGGAAACTCAAATACAAAGTTCCATTTATTTTCAACAATGAAATCAACACAACAAAGAGGAATTAATCCTCTAATTTTTAAATCTAACACAATTCTTAGCACAAATCTATCCTCAATAAATAAAAACACATTACTAGTAAACAAGTTAAAAGACTTTTCTTGAGACTATCTTGTAGTGTGTCTGAAACAAAACTAGACGATAGGTAAAGAAACACATGGACTTCACTGACATACACTCGAAGGAAAGAAAAGCCAAGGAACAGGGTTCCCAAATACTAAGCTGGCAAAAGAAACACGGGGTTTTCAAAGCCCCCCAGAAATCAGAGCTCACTGAGGGTTACAAGAGTTTGGGACAGTCCATGTTCAAGGCCTTGTAATTAAATTTTTCCATATTTCTAGATTCTTGATTTGGAATCTCTCACAATCTAGAGGAGCTTCTGCCAAAAGATAGAAGGCTCTTTATTCATGCCTTCACAAGACCCATCTAACTTGCCTTCTTTGACTTCATGACTAGCTCCTAACACCAATATAGCAGGGATTCCACTCCAGAAAACGATCACTACAATGTAAACCAACCTCTCTGTTCTCAATTTCCCTTTCATAAACACACTGATACTGCCCGGAACAGCTCAAATCATGTCCTATTTCTTTTATTTCATCCTCCTACACAACTCTGCATGGCGTGCTGCAGTCCATGGGGTTGCAAGGAGTCAGACATGACTGAGTGACTGAACTGAACACAACTCTGCTTGGGTACAAAATCTAGGACTCAAAGGGCAACAAAATTCATCAAAAGATTAGTGTCGGTTCCAATTGAAAAATTTCTTAAGTCCAATGGTCACACAAAAAATTGTTAACATCTTATCTGCCCAACTTTTTTCCCATCATCTTGCCAACTATTTCTTTCGGAATTCAATCCTCCGAGCTACATTCTGAGCACCAAATTTTTTGACCAATGCATCTCGAGTAGCCTCATCATCTTTTTGCAAATCTAAGTCATCCTGTCGGGACCAAATGGGATACCCATCAGCCCTCTGACCAGATTCTAAAAAGGAGGAAGTAGCCTCCAGCTCACCACTGTTTTTTAGGAAGGCCTGCGTAACTGTTGACAGATCCAAGTTAAACTTTTCCATCAACTGCCGGATGATCTTAATGGCAGCTCCCACCTCTGGTGCAGAAACTTTTTCTTCTTCTTCTTCTTCCTCTTCATCAGGCTGTGTTTCTGAGTCTTCCTCAGGCGTGGGTGGATCATCATCACACATTGTTATGTGTATTTCAAAATCAGGACTCTCATCCACCTAGACAAAGTGAAGAATGGAACCAGTTTGTAATAATGAAGTCACAGACACTTACTCTTAAAATATCTGGTCTCTCCCAACTACCACCTCCTTTCCCTTTCATTCCACTGGACTTCCTTCAGTTCCTCTCATGTGCTATGTTCCTTCTTACATTTAGTCATGCTAGATGTGTGTATATATGCATGTATATATATACACACACACACATATATAGGCCATAGAGTAAGCAGGAGTGTGAGTATAGGGTATATAAGTGTCTATGTGCGCATGTGTATACATATAAATGTGTGTATGTATAATTACGGTACTCCAAAGAACATTAGAAGCTACACAGATGTGGGAAATGCACGCATATATAGGCACATATATATGAGTATGCATGTATGCATTAGATTATTTGTTAAAAATTTGACTTCCCTCAGGTTGTAAGCTCCATAAGGGCAGGAATTGTATTTTGCTTATCACTACATCCTCAGTGCTTACCAATGCCTTCATATAATAAGCACTCAAAAAACACTGCTGTATTAATATATTAGGGCCTCCACATGCCACTACATTTAGGCACATTACAAAGAATGTTATGTGAGAAAAGATCTATGTAGGCCATGTTTGAGAGTTGTCGAAGTACCTGAAAGCTTGTGAAAAATGAACCAACTTTAAACTAAATTAATTTTAAACTATTTCGTGATTTAGACTAAGACCTAACCATTTTTTTTTGGTGTTAGTAAGAAAAGTTAATTAAGATTCTTTTTCTTAGAGAAATATGCACATATAATTTGGATTTTTTAAAAATTATTTTATGGTTGCCTTCCTCTATTACTATGATTAAACATGGGATTCCAACAAAGTATAAGAAATTAACTGAGTATGGAGAGCTAAAAAAGTTCTAAGTATACAAAGAGCTAAAATTGTTTAATAAAAAAATTAACTTCCTTAAAAAATTACTTTTATCTGAGAAGCACAAAGTATTTTAAAAAGATAAATCCACAGTCTTAACTTAGAAAACCTTATAGATCAAAGTACTCAAAGTGAGATGCTTTGTACTGCTGAAAAATCTTTCTCCCTCTACCCCTCTTTCAAGTATCCTACCAACCTCTGAAAGCTACGTACCTGGAACTTGGGTCAGTCCCACTTTCCATTTTCCTCCTCCATCTTGAACTCTCTTACCTCTCTGGGCCTCAGGTGTACAAAAAGGACAGATGGGATGACCACTTTCAAAGGAGGAGAACGGACGTAGGGAAAAAATTATTTATATCTAATTAACATACCACAGGAGAAGGAAATTGCACCCCGCTCCAGTGCTCTTGCCTGGAAAATCCCATGGATGGAGGAGCCTGGTAGGCTACAGTCCATGGGGTCGCTAACAGTCAGACACGACTGAGCGACTTCACTTTCACTTTTCCCTTTCATGCACTGGAGAAGGAAATGGCAACCCACTCCAGTGTTCTTGCCTGGAGAAGCCCAGGGACGGGGGACCCTGGTGGGCTGCCGTCTATGGGGTCGCAGAGAGTCAGACACGACTGACGCGACTGAGCAGCAGCAGCAGCAACAACATACCACGATCTCCTCAAACTCTCGGGTGGCCTCTACAAGCATCTTTTTGACAGCTGCTTCATTCTCCTTGATCTCTTCTTTTCCAAATTCTTCTTCAGGCAAGTCTGGAGTTCTCTTATTCTGTGGTTCTGTCAAAGAAAACAGCACTAGATTAGAATTAGCTCTGGGCCATAAGTTAGGCTGCACTTTTTTCCTAACGGTTTTTGATCAGAGGGTAAGAAAAACATAAGACACGCATGTTCAATAATTTCTAATTTTTCAGCCTGCTATTGAAGACTTGTATAATAAAAATAATGATAATTTTCCTAAGTTCTCATGTATAAAATAAAAATACTCTTCAAGCTTAACTGATTTTTTTGTTTTGTATTTACATAGATTTTACAAAAAAAAAAAAACCAAAACTGTGCCATAAACTGTGTTTTCTGGGAATCAGATTCTGAGATGGAGATTAACGTGTAATGTGTTGATCAGCGAGTGCTTAGTGGGCAGAGAGAAAAGTTGAGCTGTGAAAGAGCTCCAACAAAGCCTCAACCAAAACCATGGAGAAGTATGGAGCTAGGAAGGCCCTTCAGAGTTGACCATATTGGGGAAAGGGAGCCAAAATCACCACATAGATTAGTCATTGGATGCTAGCATAAAATAACAGAACCTTGCCCGGCTGAAGATGGATCTGAGGGATCTACCACAATCCACTACATACCACCTACAGAAAGGAGAGCCTCATAAAGCTAAACAGCTTCCTCTTCTCCTTTGACTCTGTTCTCTGAGGATTTAACTCTGCTGTTTTCCACCTAACAGAAACTGACTGCGAAGGGGCAACACGAGGGAGTTTTGCAATGAAGCTCTTCTGTATGATGATTATGGTGACGGTTACACAAATCTATACATGTATTAAAACACCTAATTGGAAAACTTGTACAGAAAATCCTCAAAATATTAAACCATATGATCCAGCTATTCCACTTTTGAAAATATAAAATAAATTAATTATTAATTAAATGAAAGCATGGTCTTAAACAAGTATTAGCACACCCATACCATAGCAGCATTATTCACAACAGCCAAGATGTGGAAGCAACTTAAGTGTCTATCAATGGATGAATGGATATACAAAAAGTGGTCGTAAAGTGGAATATTATCCAACCCTAAAAAGAACAAAATTCTCACACATGCTACAACCTTAAGCTTTGAAAATAAGCCTTTCACTTATATTAAATGAAATAAGCCAGACACCAAAGGACAAATATATTATGACTGCACTTACATGAGGTACCTACAGAGATCAAATTTATGAAGACAGAAAGCAGAATGGTGACTGCCAGGGGGAGGCAGGACTGGGGGGGCTGGTGTTTAATGGGTACGAATTTCAGTTTTGGAAGATGAAAACATTCTGAGATGGACGGTGGTGACGACCACATCAAAACATACTTAGTGCTACTGAACGGAGCACTTAAAAACTGCTAAAATGGTAAGTTTCATCTAACGTATATTTTACCACCATAAAAAAAGTTAAATACCTAACTGTACATCAAAGTAAGTCAATTTTACATAAATTTTTAAAAAGAAGCCTTTTATTTTAGAGATACACGCTGAAATAATTAACAGATTAATATGATATTTCCTTGCTCTGATTTACTTTTCTAAAAAACACAACCACACACACTATTTCAGTTTCCATGGGTCAGAAGCCCAGGTATGGCTTGTACCGGTCCACTGATCAGGGTCTAATTTACTTTTATTTAATAACAACATTTCTGCATGTATTAGCCATTTATTTAATCCCTCCTCTGAACACTCCATTTCATTTCCTTTGCTCATTTTTCTACTAGTTTCTCTTTTACTTACTAACTTCAGCAAGCCCTTTGAACACTAAGGAAACTTGCTCTGTTGCAATGTATTGGGTATACTTTTCCAATCTGCCCTCTGACTTTATCATGAAAAGCTTTAAATTTTAAGTAATAAAATATACGTTTTTTTCCTTAGTCTTCCTGGCTTCAGAAATAACAACACACAGCTATTAAAAAGGCTATTCATCCACATCCTCTCCTGGTCCTTTTCGGATTTTAATTTTTATATTTAAATATCTGAACATGAAAACACGGCAAAGGGTGAGTACAGTTTAATTTCATCCCAAGTTCCAATTGGTCTACCAGTCATCTCCACATCACTGATTTATGTATAAAAATTATATTTATAAGATATATATGATCTCCTTTACCCATACACATAGCCCTTTCCTCTCTCCAAGAATCCTCCCTCTTCCTTACTCCATCCCAGTCACACTGATTTCTGTTGCTCCAAGAACACAACAGCCATATTCCACCTCAGGACTTGCACTTAATACCCCCAAAACCTGGAACATTCTTCCTCAAATAACCACCAGTTTAGTTCTTTAACTTCCTTTGATCTCTGCTCAAGTATGAGCTTATGACAGTGAACTTCCCCTCTTACCCTGTAGAAAACAACCTCTTTTCCAGCCCTTACCCTTTTTATTTTTTTCTATAGCAGCTGGAGTTGGTGACAGACAGGGAAGCCTGGCATGTTGCAGTCCATGCACTGAGCGACTCAACTGAACTGATAGCACTCACCGCTGCCCACCTAGCATTTTAAGCTCCCTGACTGCAAGGAGTTTTATATACTGTTACCACCCAGCAGGTAAGAGTGTGGCACTCAAATATCTGTTAAATGAATCTCAAGTGTCTCTCTCAGTTCAGTTCAGTCGCTCAGTCGTGTCCGATGAATCACATGATTCACATGAATCGCAACCCCATGGACTGCAGCATGCCAGGCCTCCCTGTCCATCACCAATGCCCAGAGTTTACTCAAACTCATGCCCATCGAGTCGGTGATGCCATCCAACCATCTCATCCTCTGTCATCCCCTTCTCCTTCTGCCCCCAATCCCTCCCAGCATCAGGGTCTTTTCCAATGATTCAGTTCTTCGCATGAAGTAGCCAAAGTATTGGAGTTTCAGCTTCAGCATCAGTCCTTCCAATGAACACCCAGGACTGATCTCCTTTAGGATGGACTGGTTGGATCTCCTTGCAGTCCAAGGGACTTCCAAGAGTCTTCTCCAACACCACAGTTCAAAAGCAGCAATTTTTCAGCGCTCAGCTTTCTTCACAGTCCAACTCTCACATCCATACATGACCACTGGAAAAACCATAGCCTTGACTAGACGGACATTTGTTGGCAAAGAAGTCTCTGCTTTTTAATATGCTATCTAGGTTGGTCATAACTTTCCTTCCAAGCAGTATGTGTCTTTTAATTTCATGGCTGCAATCACGATCTGCAATGATTTTGGAGCCCCAAAAAATAAGTCTGACACTGTTTCCACTGTTTCCCCATCTATTTCCCATGAAGTGATGGAACTGGATGCCATGATCTTAGTTTTCTGAATGCTGAGCTTTAAGCCAACTTTTTCACTCTCCTCTTTCACTTTCATCAAGAAGCTTTTTAGTTCCTCTTCACTTTCTGTCATAAGGGTGGTGTCATCTGCATATCCGAGGTTATTGATATTTCTCCCGGCAATCTTGATTCCAGCTTGTGCTTCATCCAGCCCAGCGTTTCTCATGATGTACTCTGCATATAAGTTAAATAAGCAGTGTGACAATATACAGCCTTGACATGCTCCTTCTCCTATTTGGAACCAGTCTGTTGTTCCATATCCAGTTCTAACTGTTGCTTCCTGACCTGCATATAGGTTTCTCAAGAGGCAGGTCAGGTGGTCTGGTATGCCCATCTCTTTCAGAATTTTCCACAGTTTATTGTGATCTACACAGTCAAAGGCTTTGCCATAGTCAATAAAGCAGAAATAGATGTTTTTCTGGAACTCTCTTGCTTTTTCGATGAGCCAGCAGATGTTGGCAATTCGATCTCTGGTTCCTCTGCCTTTTCTAAAACCAGCTGGAACATCTGGAATTTCACAATTCACCTATTGGTGAAGCCTGGCTTGGAGAATTTTGAGCATTACTTTACTGGCGTGTGAGATGAGTGCAACTGTGTGATAGTTTGAGCATTCTTTGGCATCGCCTTTCTTTGGGATTGGAATGAAAACTGACCTCTTCCAGTCCTGTGGCTGAGAATGAAACTCAAGTGTTTCTTTTCCAAAAACAAAACTCCCACTAAGCATACTGAACAGGAGAAAATAGATTTTACCTCCCCAGACTTCAACTGTTATGCAGAATAGTCACACAAGGAAAGAGACGTTAAGGGGAGGAAGCATGACTCTAAACGAAAGTGTCTGACAGTTTAAGCTCAATACCGATTAAGTCACAAGAGAAGTAACTCAACAGCTAAACCCTGTGTCCTAACCACGTCGGAAAACCAATATTCAGTTAAACTGCATTAGAAGCTCACCTTACCCGAGAAACTAGGAAGCGGCTTCCAATAAACGAGAAATTTCTTCTGTGAATGTACATTCATTTAAGCCAAGGTATGAAAATAAACTGCACTAGCACGGCTTTAAAACTGGCTTATACTCAATCTACCTAAAGCCATGAGAAACATTGTTTAAAACGAGTCTCTGAAATATTTCTGAAAAGATACCCAAGATACAGGTTGTCTCTGGGGGCGGGGGGACTGGATAGCTGGTGGGAAATGAAATGGGGGAGAATCTTCCACAGACTCTTTCTGCCTCTTTTGAATCTCGGGCCATGTCAATACCCCAGTTATGAAAAAAGGATGTTAAAGAGAGATTACAAAATGATGCAAACTTTACCCCGACGTTTAAAGAGAGATTACAAAATGATGCCAACTTTACCTGAACGTTTAAAGAGAGATTACAAAATGATGCAAACTTTACCCGGACGGCAAAAGGGGTTAGGGAGAGGGGCTGGGCGATGCCCCTAAGACGCCCACAAGGACTCCCCGCGGAAGAGGGAGACGCCCCCGCCCCCGCACACACCACTGACAGCTGAGCACCCGCGCGTCGGCGACCGCAGACCTCACCCCCGCTATCAGCAGCCTCCGGGTCTTGCTCAGCCTTCCTCTTGAGTTTCTGCGAGGAGGGGCTCACGGGGGCCTCCCCCAGCAGGTACTTGTGCTCCTGGCCCCGCAGGCGCTTCAGGTAGCGGTCCTTCATGGACTGCCAGGAGTGCTGGGTGAGCGAGCTCTTCTCCATCGCTTTCCACAAGGCGTTACCGGTGACGGAGCTGGCCGAGCGAGCATGTTCCTTCACATAGGTCAAGATGGCCACGTCGTCCGCGTCCGTGAAGACCATCCGCCCCGCCTGCGACGGCGGCTCAGGCTCCGCCGCGGCGGCGGCGGCGGCGCCCCCGGCCTGGGCCCCGGACTTCGTCTCTGGGGCCTGGTCAGCCGCCGGAGCCGGGCCCAGACGGTAGGCCCCCAGCTCGAGCTTCTCGTTGCGCTCCACGCAGTCCAGAATGTACTGCGTGGAGATGAAGTCTCCCGAGGCCTCGGCCGCCGCCTCCCCGGGCTGGGCCAACAGCACGGCCCCGGGCTCCTGAACGCGACACAGAGTGCCGCCGCCGTGAAGGATGAGCGTCGAGAGCCGGCGCTTTGCCGGGCTGGGACGCACGTAGAAGGACATGGAGCTGCCATCCTCCCTCACGAACAGAGTCGAGGAATGAGTGGGTCCATTGGGGTCTTTGCCCAAATCCATCGCCTCCGCCATAGCTCTCCCCGGGCACCGGAAAAAGCTGCCCCCTCGCGAACGCCAGACGAACAGAGAGCTGCAGGTATTCAGATAAAGCTCCAGGAAACGCCGCCCCGAGGCCCGTGTTGCGCCTGCGCATTAGCTGCGCGCGAACAGTGCCCCCGCCCCTTTCCCCGGAAGAGGCGGGGCTTCTGACCTTGACCTGGAAGTCGCCGTGCGACCCACCCCACCCCCACACCGCCCCGTCCTCTTTAGGTCCGGCCCTCGGGGAAGATGGCTGACGTGCAAGGCGCTGAAGTTAAAGTGGACTGCGGCGAGCCGAAACTGAGCAAAAAGTAAGTGTCGTTGCGGTCATTATGCATTATGCGGAGAGTCTGGACTAGGAAGCGCCTCGAGGCTCCGGCCGGGACTGCTGTGCCTGGGGCCTTGCTGCCGGTTCTCGTGGTTATGAACACGTTGGGACTCGGGTGCTGCCGCCGCGAAACTACATCCCCCAAGCTGCCCAAGGGCCGCGCTGGTTGGGTCCTTCCTCCCTGTTGTGCTCCTAGAGTAAGAGAATGCGGAGAACTGGGCGGCGACGGAGAAAAGCGAAATTTACTCTTTTCGAGGAGAAATGAGTTATTATGCCACGCCCCGGTAAAGAAGTTGGAGAAATGATAAATACCCAGCTCTTCAGAAGGACCTTCAGATTTTCCTTGGCCTCACCAAGGCCATTCTGAACCTTTTGTATTAAAGGGAACATTCTAAAACGTGTCGTGCAGCTCTCTTTATGGGTTGGTCAGAGGATCTTTGAGAATTGAGTGAATCACCGATCTCCAGCAGTATGGACTGTCTTATTTAGCCGAGTACAGCCAGCTGCACTTAGCACTGCTGGAAGTATCTTTGTTAGTCACCCCAAATCCTTGGAGTATAAAGGTAAATATAAATGAATTAAGATTGGCCGCTCTTTCACCGATTGTCCCCTGTACTCTCTTAATACTGCATTCCTCAACCGGAGTCCTCTAGAACCTCGACAGTGATGAGTGACTAATTGCTCAGTACTCCCAAAGATAGTACATAAATAAAGTACCTTCCAGAGGCATGGAGAGAAGTTAGTTTCTTGCATTTAATGGCTGCCTTAGTGTATCTTTTTTACTTCTGTGTCTTAATTATTCTTGGAACTTCCTTTGTCAGAATCTTTAGTGAGCACCACTGTATGCCAGTTATTGTCTCCAAGTTTAAAAGCAGGCTGTCTGCCAGGTGACTCAGTTAAGGCCTCATTCATTTTAATGCAATAAAGAACATGATCTCTGTCATTGTGTTACCTTCCAGTGTTGTAAACTTAATGTAGTCCAAGACTCTTCCTGAAATTCTCCTTTCTTTCTCATTCCTAGAGCTCCAGACAAGTCTTGTCTTTGACTCAGGTGCTTTTGCGGCTTGTTTTTAGCTTCGTCTAGAGTTGGCAGTTGATGACGTTTTGTATGCTTCACATTGCCATCTTTGTCACTAGGAGAGAAACTGCATGTCAGGAACTTGAGAAACACTGCCTCGCGTCCTGTCTCCTGTTTTCTATAATGTTGTGATCATTTCTACCTGTAAATCATTGATTGACTTACTGACTTGTGAACCCAGATAAGCACCATCTCACCATAGCCAGGGCTGAGAACATTGTCAGTTACTTGTGTAGCACAGTGAGTGTTAGAGGGCTGCTGTCAGTGGAGAGGGTCTTGCATAAAATGGTACACTAACAGGTTGTGTAACCTCCCCTTCTCCCCCAACCCATAACAGTAGGAGTGCTGGCTGGGGGTATATTGTACTGCATGTCCCATCTGACACCACATCTCTGTTTCCTGTTAGGTGGTGGTAATCATTCTTAGGTGGTTCCAGGGTATTCTGCCATGTTGATGCAAGCCGCTGTAAGGCTTGTTAGGGGGTCCCTGCGCCAAACCTCCTGGGCACAGTGGGGGCAGAGGGAGCTGCGCCTGTGTCAACTTGCTCCTTTCACAACGATTCACAAGGACAAGCCACTTTCTGATAAAAGAAGGTTGGTGCTCTTTACCTTCTTTATTGCTCTGGGAGCAAAAGTCCTTCTTAGTTACTTATCTGTAAAGCCTCTGGCTGAGTTTTGGACTTGTTGCCAACTAAACAACCCTGCTACCTACTACCCAAACCAATAGTCCTTTCTCAGTTTCTCTTTAATAAATTCAAATTCGCACTCCATAAATTCTTGAGATGACGTTTAGGTCTTATGCTAGAACAGTGCTGAGAATGAAACCCTTGTATGAATAAAGAATTTGTAATACAGATTATTTTCCCTTTTCTATCTTTCTGGAATTTCTTTGCTTCTGAGATTAATTTGGTTTCTAGTCTTAGTTCTTATTCCTAGAACCTTTTTGGATAATCCTTTTTACTGATGTGATTTAAATGGCAAAAACTAGGTAAACAGGCTTATGTTAATGCTAGGAAGAACCAAATAGGCTTGGATGCTCCTGACTGAATGACAGAACAAGAAATCTAGCACATTGTTCTGGAGGGGCAACTTCACAACTGATACAAAACAGATTATACTCAGAGACACTTAACTTTGGGCCGTTCAGAGTCAGTTTTCTTGCTTAAAAGATGGTCATTTCAAGTCTCCATTTTTTAAATTGATTTATTCTGAACTCATATATAATTAAGAATGTGCCCTGAAACCAAACAGTAGCAAGCATGACTAGGGATCATTTGCCATGGTTCATTATTATAGGATATTCATTTAACATTCGTGGTTTGGAAGAACAATGAGGGTATCCCTCTCTGCCCAAATCTGTTTGGTTTCTGAGTCTCAAGTAACAAGTATTAAAAGAGTTTGGATAGTGAGAGATTTGACCAGAAATTTAATCCACATCTATAAAATTTCTGTCCTTGAGTCAGGGTGTGAAGAGTTAAGATAATGGGGGAATACCTAGAATAGTTCACATTTGCATGCTTAATTAAAGAATGCAGTTAGATGCTAGGGATGGGGGTCATCTCTTTGTGTATATTTCAATCCTCACAACATTTAGGGAAGAAGGTGTCTATTATTTGAAAGGAGTAACTTGAGTAATTGAGTAACTTGCTCAAGCACACCAAGTCAGGTTTTAGTCCTAGACAGTCTGGCTCCAAAGATGGTGTGTTATCCCCTAGAGCATGCTGCTTTGTACACTATCTGCCCAATTTGTGGTCGAAGTCCAGTTCCTCTGGGGAAGGTGAGGCAGTGCTGAGGTCACTGTCAATGCATTAGTCAGTGCTGGGGGTGATTGTCAGAGGAGTGTCTCCCTGGACTTGCCCACCCCGCCCCAAACTAATCCACTCCTTGTGGGAGGGGAGAGAGGTGACAAGGCTAGGGCTTTCACCTTGTCACACATCAAATCTGATGCTCTCAGAACTTCATGTTCTCCAAAGGATACCAAACACCTCAGTCCCTGGCCTCAAGGAGATCCCAAGCCTAATTAGCCTGAGAAAATCTTGCTGATTTTCTGTAAAACATTTTTTTTCCTATCCTAACTGTCAACTAATATGTAGGGTTTTCTTTGTCCTTGTGTATCTTGATTTTAGATGGGACCTAATACCAAAGACCTCCGACTGGAAAATAGAGACTGAGAAAGATCTTTCACATCTTTATTCTAAGTTTATTTTTTCCTCTGTCTACCTCATGTATAGAGTTTAGTAACTAAGAGAGAACCGTGGGGGTGTGGAACTGGACAAGTGTGTTTCCCTAGGCAGTTGATATTTTTGGTAATTGGTGACGGGGCAGAACGTAGGGGACTCTTCAGGCACCTGTTACATTGAACACTTTCATCTTCTTGACAGTGAGCTAAAGAGACGCCTGAAAGCTGAGAAGAAAATAGCGGAGAAGGAGGCCAAGCAGAAGGAGCTCAGTGAGAAACAGCTGAGCCAGGCCGCCACCAATCACAGTGCTGATGATGGCGTGGCTGCGGAGGAGGAGAGCTTGGACCCAAATGTGAGTTCTTGGGACCACTGCCCTCCCTGCACTCAGGGCAGCTTCTGATGAGACTTAGGGCAGATTCCCCAGGAAGAGACAGTAGGAGGGACCAGTGACTGGGGGGATAAACAGGGACTGGGACTGATGAGGGGGGCCCACCACTCCATCTGGTTAAAAGCACAGGCCCTGCGCATCTTTCTTGTCTTTTCTTGCTTAACATTCGAGAGAATCCAGTACTTCCAAGTGGCTGATAACTCCTTGGAGTTAGCTGGACCTTATAGCAACCCTGGAGAAAATCTCTCCCTACAGGTGGCCTGGGGGATTTATTGTAGCTGAGAGATTGGCAAACCGTGGCCCACAGGCCAAAGCCACCACCACCCCTCTCCTCCCTAGTTCTATAAGTAAAATTGTGTTGAAACACAGCCATGCCCACTTGTTTACATGTCTTAAGGCTGCTTTCACACTACAACCTTGAGTAGTTGAGTAGTTGCATCAGAAAATATTGTTTCTAATATGAAAAAAATGTTTTTTCATACCTCCAGGCCCATGGGCGTGCCTTGGGGAAAAATCTGGTGTGTGACCAGGGATAGGAAAGGAGGAGGAGAAGTGACTCACAGGCAGATGTGCCTCCAGAAGTGGTAACCAGCTCCACCTATACCAGTTAAACTTACTGTTTTAGTGAATCCCTGGTGGTCCAGTGGTTAGGTCTCTGAGCTTCCACTGCTGGGGACTGCCCCGCCGCCCCCTCCCCACCCCCCGAAAAGAAGAAACTTATTTAGACAGAAATGTGATTTTTCTTTTTGTCACATCTTGCATTTTGGGATTCTAGTCTTTATTCCCAGCTATATATCTGGCCACCCTGCATATTTAAGTGCAAATCTCACTCCATAGCCAATGCTTGATTCCAAGGCTAGGGAGAGCTTGGTTAAAGAAACCTCTCTGTATTGGGGCCCCTCTGAGGCAGGATACTGAACTCCGCTAGACCAGCCCCTGGTCTGACTGGGCTCAACTTCTCAGAAGCTCTTTTGTTTTTTTAACAGCAATACTTCAAAATCCGAAGCCAAGCAATCCACCA